TTGTGGAGGAGACATTTGTTTAGTTTGTATATGGAACCGTCCTGATGGTCAAGAGAATTAAGAAAAATGTCCCACTGGTCAGTTTTGTGAGTTTCGAGTAAAGTTCTGATTAGTGAGATTTTGGCGTTAAGTTGACGTTTGGTAGTCGGGTCACGGTTTCTTTGCCATTGGCGGCGTAATTGGTTTTTCTCAGTTATTTCAAGTTTTATGTAGTCGGGTAGTAAAAAGGAAGAGTTTTTGTGTTTAGGGGTAAATACGCTAGCTTCGATCGCGTGTTGTATGTTTTTGGTGAGAGTATCAATTGCCAAATCGATTGACTCACTGTTGATGGTCGGTCGTTCAGTTGGGTTTGGTAAGTTGGATAGAATTGTCTTGTATTTTGTCCAGTTAATGAAGCGGTTAGTCGTTGGAGGGGACGATGATACCGGAGTACACAAGGTCTCCAGAAGGATAGGGTTGTGGTCAGAAGATAGCTCGTTGAGGTTGTCGATTTGAGTAGGATAAGGTAGTCGAACGAGTGCGATGTCAAGTATGTCAGGTCTGTATCTAGCGTTTGTCGGGAAGTGTGTGGGGGATGAGGGAGCAGTGATGGTATAGTCCGATTGTTGAACGTGGTCAAAAAGTACGCGACCGGCAGCGTTTGTCGAGTGGCTATACCAGAGAGGGTGTTTGGCGTTGAAGTCACCTGCAGAGATTTGCCATTCGGCACTTTGGGTCAACAAGTCCAAGTCGTGAGACGTGAGTGTTGCACCTGGTGGTTTGTATACCGCTGATACAAGGACTTCGTGGCCGTTTAGTTGGATGAGGACAGAAGAGGTTTGAATGAGTGTGTTAAGAGTTATAGGTTGGTGAATGATGCGTCGGTGGATTAGAACAGCCGTGCCGCCGTGAGCAGGCGAGCCGCGGACGGGCGGCAGGTCATTCCTGTATGTGAAGAAATTTGGAATGTGAAGTTTGGAAGAAGGTGGTAGATGGGTTTCATTTAGTAAGATTATGTCAGTTTTCAGTAGGAGTGCGAGGGAGCGTAGTTCGTTGAGTTTGTGTTTGATACCGTTGGAGTTCCAAAATAGGATTTTTAAGTTATTCATTTTGGGGCGAGAGTATGGACAGGAATGTTTTGATCGTTGATTCTATGAGGGTTTTCGGATCATGATTATTGGATATTGCAGTCAGTAGGTTGGTGAGCAGGTTTAGTATCAGCGACAAGTTTAGTTGTGGGACTGGAGAATTTGAAGAAGAGTGCGCTGATTTTGATGTTGCTGCGGAGTATGTCAATGTAGTGTTTTGTTTAGGGTGAGGTGGTGGAGGAGGGGGGGTTGAGATTGGGTGCGAGGATTTATTTTGAACGAAGTCTTGGGTTGGAGTTGGAGATACCTGCTGTTTCTGGGCCATGAATTGGGGGCAGCCACGAAAGTTTGCCGTGTGTTGGCCGCCACAGTTGCAGCATGTCGGAGGTTGCTCGAGAGTTTTTGGACAGGCGTTTGCATTGTGGTTACCGGCGCATTTTACACATCGCGGCGGATGACCACAGTTACGTGAACCATGGCCAAAGCGTTGACATGAAAAGCACTGGGCCGGGCCGGAGGGTTTGAGGGGTTCAACTGAGATTTGCAAGTAAAACAAATTTGTGAGAAGAAATATGTCCTTAGCAGACGGATTTGCGGCGATGTGCACTACACATATCGGCATAGGTTTTTCGGGGGTGCCAAAGCGGCGGACGTAGTTCACGGAGTAACCTAGAGTAACTAACTCGTCTTTTAGTTCGTCAGTTGATATATCAGTCGGAATGCCCTTTAGAACGACTTTTACAGAACGTTCCTCAGGGAGGGAAAAAGTGTGGAATTCGGTTCCCAGGTGTAACAGAGTCTTTTGGATCAGGCGGAATTGGGTAGTATCGGCTGCTCGTAGGGTTACCCGGTCGCCGGAGGATTTTGCTGATAGAGAGCTCGGTTGCAAGTTTTGGATTGAATAGATGGTGGGCGCGGCCTTCCGCCAGGAAGCGGAACTCAGTATGATAGGTGGAGGTCTGGAGACTGAAGGAGTTTTGGACGGAATTTGAGTGGCTGAGAGTGAGGTGTTTACTGAGTGTACGGAAGTAAGTGATGATAGGGAGTGGTGGGTTGAGGTGCTAGAGTCGGAGAAAGAGTCTAGGGTTTCAGAGTCGGAAGCACTGGAGTTAGGATAATTTTTGTATCATAGCGGTGGGTATATATTACCAAATCCAAACGACAAGTCGTTCGTTTATTGGTGGAAATACCATAATGATGACGATATAAATAGGATCGCCGATTAGTCCACAATAACTAAAAATAGGATTTTCTCCACAAGTACGTTTCATGATTATGTCCAATGAAAACAACATCGTTTGGTAATGAAAGTCAACCAAACGTTGTGACGTAGTACCGTAGTGTCGTTATCTCTGTCCAATCACAGAATTTTTATCCACATTTTTACTATATATACGAAAATTTCAGGCGGAATTCTGCATCAGTCTCATTCAGTATCGAATTTGAACCGTACCAAACACTATTACAATCATGAGCGGACGCGGCAAGGCAGGAAAATCGAAGGGAGGCAAATCCAAGACCAGGTCGTCCCGGGCCGGACTCCAGTTCCCGGTCGGACGTATCCATCGTCTGTTGAGGAAAGGAAACTACGCCGAACGTGTCGGAGCTGGAGCCCCGGTATACCTGGCCGCCGTCATGGAGTACTTGGCAGCTGAAGTTTTGGAGTTGGCCGGTAACGCCGCCCGTGACAACAAGAAGTCTCGTATCATCCCCAGACATTTACAATTGGCCATCAGGAATGACGAGGAGTTGAACAAATTGTTGTCCGGAGTAACCATCGCCCAAGGTGGTGTGTTGCCCAACATCCAAGCCGTGCTCTTGCCCAAGAAGACCGAGAAGAAGGCTTAACTCTGCTACCTTACCCACCAAAACCACAGTTTAAAACGGCCCTTTTCAGGGCCACCAAAATTTAAAAGTAAACGTCTGTTCGAATATTTTTTCAGTGGACACACTAGATAGTAAAATTGAATGGAATGGTGTTTGGATTATAAAATGTAAAACGTCCACGACCAGTGATAGTGTAGTACCCTAGAGTACATAACATTAAACACATATACGAATACAACTTAAGTATATCTGAGACGATAAATTATTATCACAATTAATATCAAATTGATTTTATCACAGATATAGATAATAAACCACGTTTGAAATATTGGTTATGTTAAGCTCCTCAAGGTTTTGGGGCACCGGTTAAACTTATGTGATTATTTTGAAATGTTCTGTACATTAATTTTAACTCATATATTAGAACCAGAACCCCAGTCACTAAATCTAACATCCTACTATCCAGTAAATAAAAACAATTATAAGTTCATGGAAATGCGACAAACGCGGCAGAGAGGAGTTTCTGGGAGTCTTTTTATGGTAACATACCGAAATGATCAAAATTTACCACATTTACGTACACTTTTCTCGGTAAATTACCAAAAAAAAAAATTTACGCAAATTTTACATCTCTAAATCCAAATATACCACGATAGCGATTCTGAATTAAAGTGACTTAATTCCATTTCCTTCATATTTCGAGGAAACCGTCACTTCTGGCGTTGAACCTAAAATCTTATTGAAAAAAATTATCACATCGAAATTAATAGGTACACTGTCGAAATGAGGTGGCTCATCGCCAAACATTCTAAACGCTAATTTCACTCAAATATGGCTACGCTGAGTCCACTGGCAGCTGTCCTTTACCAATTTATAGCTTGTGCACGTAGTGATAATGATAACGAATTGATAACCTGCGAGTGAGTCATAACGGTACTTAAGCATAAATGAGTAGCAAACCTGAAGTATCAAGCGTCTTAATACTTTCAACAAAAATCGAAAAATGTTTTTCCACATAAGTTAGACCAGTGATGAGTTTTTTTTTATTCAAAATATTTTTTTAGCAATTGATTAACCCGTGTATTTTATAGTTACACCTATACGTGTTTTCATTGAATTTATATCATATTGTTGTAGGCATTAAGTTATATTAACTGTAAATAGACCAAAATATTTTAAATCCTCACAATGGCGATTGTTCAATTTTGGTTTGACTGTGACATCAAAAATAAGGCAGGAATTATCTAGGTAATCAGATGATTAGCAATTATACAATGAAATACAAAATATATTCTTAAGTACCTACATTATTCTAATGTCTATTTTCGGTTATTTGACAAAATTAACGCGATTAGGATTAGTGCCTAAGTGTATTGTAAATACCGTGGATGCGGGTATTACCGCCGATAACAAGAAATTTGGTAAAATCATTCTAAAAATAACCCATCGCAATTTAATTTTTATGTGTTGTTGTCTGTCGATCCGTGGTAATGAAAATATTAATATTAACACATGAGCGACTGAGTAAGCTATACCCAACCATATCATACCCGTCTACAATGTCAACATGGGTCTTTCGGAATTTATAATTAGACACTATCGGTATATTTTACTTAATTGAAGCCATGTAAACACCGATAATTCTTGATAATTACTGTCTGTTGATCGATTATCGGTAATAAAAATGTATTTATAACAATGTCATTGTTTACATGGTAAATGGCGTACCTACTTATCAAACTTTCCCAGAAAGCGTGACAAAAGGATCTATAAGTAAACAGACGATAGTCAGCTGGCTGTACTATAATGTATGTTTTATACTTCGCGGTCTCGTGGATGTTGTTCCACTGTTGAATTATTCGATTCCCGCCGTCTTTTAATTTTGGCCCCGCGTTGTAATATTTGTTCTCCTATTCTATAAAATATAATTATCAACTGAATTGTGTATTCGTACAAATATTGGTATTGGTATTAATAGCACACGCTGGCTGATAGTGTGTAATATCAACAATTATCATTCTCCCTCCCGTCGCCAGAATACAAGTACATTTTGGTGGCCCTGAAAAGGGCCTTTTTAAGGTATGACAACTTATGACGACTATCAATTTAAGCACGTTCACCGCGGATACGACGGGCCAACTGGATGTCCTTTGGCATGATCGTGACACGCTTGGCGTGGATTGCACAGAGATTGGTGTCTTCGAACAGACCCACCAAGTATGCCTCGCTGGCTTCTTGCAACGCCATGACGGCGGAACTCTGGAAACGCAGGTCGGTCTTGAAGTCCTGGGCGATCTCGCGCACTAGACGTTGGAACGGCAATTTGCGGATCAAAAGTTCTGTGCTCTTCTGATAACGACGGATTTCACGGAGGGCAACGGTTCCCGGGCGGTAACGATGTGGCTTTTTCACTCCTCCGGTGGCGGGTGCGCTCTTACGTGCGGCTTTGGTGGCCAACTGCTTCCTGGGTGCCTTTCCGCCGGTAGACTTACGGGCTGTCTGCTTGGTACGTGCCATTGCGCTGCTGGATTGGATTGTTCTGAGTTGGACTGCAAAACGTGACTGTTGAACGAATGATGCGGTTCGACACGCAGTCGACCGGTATATATACGTAAATCGGAACCGTGTGGGTCGTCCTCATTGGTCGATGTTTAACGGTTAGAATTTTAGTGGTGGAGGGCCGGGGGGATAACCGGTCATGGTTCCGATTGGTGGTTCGGCTTCGAGAGAAACGGTTAAAATGGACTGCGACCTGAAGAAAAGTATCAGTCAACGTTCAGTTCACATCCGAACAAGTCCAACACCACTCAAACATTCAAAATGACAGGACGAGGCAAAGGAGGAAAAGGTCTGGGAAAAGGAGGCGCGAAACGTCATCGTAAAGTGCTCCGTGATAACATCCAGGGAATCACCAAGCCCGCCATCCGTCGGTTGGCCCGCCGAGGCGGTGTCAAACGTATTTCCGGTTTGATCTACGAAGAGACCCGTGGAGTCCTGAAGGTATTCCTGGAAAACGTGATCCGTGACGCAGTCACGTACACCGAGCACGCCAAGAGGAAGACCGTCACCGCCATGGACGTCGTGTACGCTCTCAAACGACAAGGCCGTACTCTGTATGGTTTCGGAGGTTAAATGCCGACAGTACTTACTTTTGAAGTTTAAAAACATCCTAAAAAGGCCCTTTTCAGGGCCACCATATGATGACATATATCGCGTATAATAACATTAAAGCAAAGAAACCAACTATTGTCTGTTCCGGAGTTGTTCGGTGGCGTCATTAATGAATCCCAATTTGTTTAAGAAAACACGGGGAATAACGTTCCGATTATAATATTGAAGTAGATTATCTATGCATTGTTTCTTTGACCGTTTTTCCATGATTTAATTGAAATACTGCAAGTCAAAACATAGAAACAACACTATATTCCGTTGATAACGTAATCCTGTTTGAATATTATTGCGGCACTTTGAATCAATATTACAAAAAAAAGCTTCAAGTACTATCATTACTTTTTTTAGCCTCCTTGGATGATGTTCTAATAACGTTCATATTATTGTAATATTAATTGTTTAATCGATTTCTAAAGCTATCATTCTAATGATATTATCGAGTAAATCGCTGCCTGGTTTGGTGATGAGTTTATTATTTTTGTGATTTACTATATCACTACGTCATTCGTTTCGTGAACCTACCATTAATAGGCTTTTGTTTAATGATTTATTTTTTTCGATTTTCATAACTATGTACTTTATAATTATATTACAAGAAATATCGGTTCCAATATGATAGAGTATGCATGATAACATGTATAATAGTGTAGAAACTGTAAATACGATAGATATCCGTGTTATTAATAGCCGTTGTGAGGGTATTACCGTCGATAACAAACAATTTGGTAAAAACATTCTAAAAATAACTCACCAATGAAAAACCTCAAAGAATGATATTGAGAATACTGGGAAAAGGGGTGTCCATAAACGTAGAAAATGTAAATTAAAATTCAGAAAATTTGTTTCTATAGAAATACCGAAACGGGGAATAATAATAATATCTCGACGTGATTATTAAATGTCATTATAAGTTAAAATCATGCGGTTATAAAAAATATTTCATTTGGGAATTTCTTAATTATAATCCAAGGGTTTTATTTCAACTAATTACAATTAAACTTCGAATAAAATATTAATTGAGGGCATTGCGGTAGTGTTGCGGAATAGCGTGAATTTTTTTTATGTACTTTATCACTTGTAAGACGGAGACAACGAATGCGTGTACGTGCAGGCCACGACGTTGCGCAGGTGAACTGTAAACAATTTATGTTCATTTTTTTTTTATTTTACTTTTCGTCAATCCAGATAACGCGATGAAACTACTGGACACTTATTTGCAGTAGTCGTTAATATGACTACTTGTCTTGAGTTCGATCATCACACATTTTAAGATTATTCGTTTATTTTATTTAAATTTAAAATTTAGGAAAATATGAGACATTTGATCAAAATTGGTATTAGTTTAGGAACGAGAAAATGTGACGTGATCGATTTCACATAGATATATTAATGTATTCAAATCAGTTTTCAAAAAGTCTTATCCCGTCATCCGGTCCATCGGTATGGTTGACAAAAAGTGCATACAAATGAACATAAATTGTTGTTTCGACCGAAGTCCTTTAACAATGTGTTGTTATAATCATTTATTCGGTAAAGTACGATTAAGACGAGATTTATTGACAAAGTCTGTCTCGTTAAAACTTCAGGTAGAAACACGCCGGTGACACCGTGCCGTGGCAGAGTCCTAAAACCGTCATATTCGAACAGCCACTGTTCATCGGAAAATCGGTCGATTGGAAATCTGCAAACGCCATGGTCTCGGGAAACTCGTGGAGAATTCATCCAAAATATTTTCGTCAATTTTCTACTGGTTTCAGTCATACGACAGACCTTCAAATACGGTTTACGAAAACCCGGTCGGAAGTGTGGAAATAACGACTCGTGGTGGTTTCGTGGTACTGGTTGCCGATGCAATAGTCATTGGCGATCGTTTAGAATTTAGTTAGCTCGCCAAAAAGTTCAAAGCCAGATTTTTACCACCATTTCCCGTTGAGATATTGTGAAAAACGATTGTACAACCGTAGCCCGGAGGACGACGCGAATCACACTGGTTTACTAGTTGGTACGGTGCACTGTATAAACGTACACATTTTTCGACCCAATTGGTATCACCGCAGTATCCAGTGGAATTATCCATCGTTTTAAATTTTTACTTGAACAATATCATCATCAACAACATGACAGACACCGTTGCTACAACTCCGGCTCCAGTCGCCGCATCGCCGGCCGCGAAGAAGTCCCCTGCCAAGAAGAAGTTGTCGGCTTCTAAAGTCAAGAAGACCGTTGCGTTGCACCCGACCACCGCCGTGATGGTCACCTCGGCTATCAAAGAGCTCAAGGAGAAGAAAGGTTCGTCGTTACCAGCCATCAAGAAATACTTGGCCGCCAACTACAAAGTCGATCCCGCCAAGTTGGCGCCTTTCATCAGGAAGTTTTTGAAAGCCGCCGTCGCCAACGGTACCGTCGTCCAGACCAAGGGAACCGGCGCATCGGGACACTTCAAGTTGCCCGTCGTCGAGGTCAAGCCGAAAAAAGCCGTTGTGGCCAAAAAGAAGAAATCCATCGTCAAAAAAGTCAAAGCCGCCGGAACACCGAAAAAGAAGAAGCTCGTAGCCGCCAAGAAACCCGCGGCGGGCGAACCAGCAGCCAAAAAAGCGAAAAAGGCCGCTGCAACCAAACCCAAGGCGACTACACCGAAGAAGGCCCCAGCCAAGGCGAAGAAGCCGGCCGCTGTCAAGCCCAAATCGAAGAAAACTCCGATCAAGAAAACCGCAGCTCCCAAAAAGAAGTAGGCTGGTAGTAAAAATACTTTCCTCTTCATACCTTAAAACGGTCCTTTTCAGGACCACTAATTTTATATAACATATGTCTTGCGCCGACATTTTTCATACATTTTTGTAAGCCGTATGACGTGTGATGATTTACTGCCTTAACTGATCGTTTCAGACTATGGACGGGTGAAACTACGCAATTGCAGTTTGATTATTGTAATCGAATTGAAATAAAAACATCGGTCCCAATTATTAAGGAATTCCCAAATTCAATGTTATTTATAATCATAAGCGATGCAAATAAAAATAACATTTAATTACGTCGAGATACTATTGCCCGTATTTCTATGGGTTTTTCATTCATGAGTTATTTTTAGAATGTTTTTACCGAATTCCTTGTGATCGACTATTAATAATATGAATAGTATTAATTATCAAATTATTATAATATTACCTATATATTATATTTCACCTGTGCCAACCGCCAGTTGTGTCGACGATTAACGACACTTGTTCTAATAATTCCACTGAACAAAAATAATAAACTGACACGCGAATAGACAGACAAGTCGTTAAGCAGTAAATAATATACCTAACTTAAACTCGCACATTTCGTTACGTTCAGATTATTTTCATAAAATATTTATTTATGACACAGCTCTAGGTTTCATCGGAAGAGTCGGTGTTTACGCGTAAGTTTGTTTTAATTTTATTTTGGGGCTTAAATTTACTTTTTAGACTTAAATTAAATATTTATCGACACGGACGATATGCTAACTCGGTGACGTATAAACGATTTAATTAATAATAACATTTAATTACGTCCAGACATTATTGCTTGTATCGGCACTTCCATAGGTTATTCATTGATGAGTTATTTTTAGAATGTTTTTACCAAATGTCTTGTTATCGACGTCAATAGCTGCACAACGGCTATTAATGATATACTAAGTATATTTGATGATATCATTGTGAACAAAGTAATTTATATATTTCCCTTATTACGTGGACACTTGTATTTTCAGTCATTAGCTATAAAAGTTGAACATTTTATAAGTTTTTTAACATGGAGGAAAATAGAAGCAGTACAGACAATAGGTATCAGAGTAATACTAGGTCAACCGTCCATAGTAAAAAACAACCGGCTTCATCCCTATCAAGCACTTAATCAAAAAGAATGCCTTAGCAACCTTCCACCGTATATCAACTTCACAGTACAACAGTATAAAGAATATTGGTCACATTTCCCACCCATCACATGCCTCTAGACATAAACAACGACCTAGAGTAAAATTATGGGAAACAAGTTAAATATATATATAAACATTTTCGTCAAAATTCGAACTTAAAATGCTTATAAAAAAAAATTGTGCCTATATATTTTTAATATTTTTCAACTTTTATTGTAACAATATAGTAGGAGGCTTGTATTAAATTTTCAAGCTTTTTTACCCAACAAATAAAGTTTTATTGACATTCATAGAAAAAAAAAAAACTAATACAATTGGAAACTGGAAATGTTCCTGAACGGGTAAAAACAAATCAAAATATTTTGAAAATTTGTTCGTGTGTAGAAAATGCAAATATAAGCTACCAGTGATAATTTAATGTTTATACGTTCATTTGTTTTAGAGTTAAACCAAAAACCAAAATCGATGTTGTGGAAAACCGATTTTGAGTAAAAATTACCGTTTTTCCTTAATTTTTATGTAGTTTTTCTCGTCGCTTTGGAAAACTATTGGCAATTCTAAAATTTGACTCCCCGAATGCAACAAGTAGATTCAATTTTCCATTGAACAAGATACTGTTCAAGAAAATCGAAGCAGTTTTACTGCCCTAAATTGAGATGACAGACACAAAAATAAAAAATAAAATAAAACACATACACACACACACACACACACACATGTCATTGTAGAATCAATACGTTCATCGTTCCACTCAGAATCTAAAAATAAACTAATGAAATTCGAAATATACTTATACCTATAAATAACTCAAAAAAGAGTAAAAATATTTTGATAATAATTGTAAGGTGCGTAGAAAATACAAATATTGACATTCGGTGAAAATCGCATGTATCCACGGTTACATTTGTATTTAGTTAGGTACTCCAACATACAAAATCAAACTGACTTTGAGCAAAAATTTCCGTTTTCCCTTAATATACTTTTGGTTTTTCCCGTGGCTTTTGAACACTACAGGAAATGTTGTAATATTTACCCCGCCAAAGTACCAACTATATTCATTTTCCTACCTAAAACTATGCCGATGTAGTTAATCGACGCACTTTTACTGCCCCTTGCGATGACGGACAAACAAACAAAAAAAAAAAAAAAAACACATACACACACCCATCATTGTGAAATAAATTCATTCATCGCTCAGCTCAGAATCTAATGTTTCATAATACCGAGAATAAGTCAACGCACAGTCACGCGCTAAATATTACAATATCGTTTTCGTTCATTGGTACAACCGTGGCCCTTGAACTATAAGTTGTGGTGGATGGTCATTTTTGTAATTTGGATAGGCCATGTCTAATGTGGATAACTGTCGGGAATCGAATAATGCAACAGTGTAACAACATCCACGAGACCACGAAGTATAAAACATACATTTTAATACACGACACTACCAGCCGACTGTCGTCTGTTTATTTATAGATACTTTTTCCCCGCTTTCTGGGGAAGTTTGATGAATGGGTACGCCATTTACCATGTGAACATTGACGTTGTTATAAATACATTTTTATTACCGATTATCGATCAACAAACAATGATTATCCAGGATTTTCGTAGTACATATGGCTTCAATTACGTGAAATACCGATTGTACCTAATTAAAAATCTCGATGGACCCATGTTGACATTACAGACGCGTTAGGTATAGCTATCACGGTCGCTGGAATATAATATTAACATTATTTTTTTCGTTATCACGGATCGACAACACAATAATAGTGCAATTTTCCGTGCCCATACAATGGGTTATTTTTAGAATGTTTTTACCGAATTTCTCGTTAACGGCGGTAATACCCGCCATTAACTATTAATATCCATCGTATTTATAATAATATTACATATTTCATTATTTTACATCATAGTTTAGGAACCGATATTTTGGTATATTTCTTACGTAACGGAACAGCATTTTTTCGTCGTTTTCTTTTTCAATTATCTCGATAATCACCCAGTGCTCTCCCCCCGCTCTTTACACTGTAATTGTCATAATATATACAAGCGATAATTCCTAGTTCAAAATAATGGTTGTTAAGAAACTGAAATTTTTTCATAGCGATTGGTGGCCCTGAAAAGGGCCGTTTTAGTTGAGTATTGATATTTCAAAACGGGTGAATTATTTGGAGCTGGTGTACTTGGTCACAGCCTTGGTTCCTTCACTGACGGCGTGCTTGGCCAATTCACCGGGCAACAAGAGTCGGACGGCGGTTTGGATTTCCCGGCTGGTAATGGTCGAACGTTTGTTGTAGTGAGCCAGACGACTGGATTCGGCGGCGATGCGCTCGAACAGGTCGTTGACGAAGCTGTTCATGATGCTCATGGCTTTAGACGAAACTCCGGTGTCGGGATGTACTTGTTTCAACACTTTGTAGATGTAGATTGCGTACGATTCTTTCCTCTTGGGCTTGCGCTTCTTGTCGGACTTGGCGATGTTCTTTTGTGCCTTGCCGGACGACTTCTTCATTGCTTTACCCGCCGATTTTCCTCCTGGAGCCATTTCGAATAGTTGTATTTAGACTTGTTGACGACTGAAACGTTGTGTACTGAGTGATAATTTTTGTATCATAGCGGTGGGTATATATTACCAAATCCAAACGACAAGTCGTTCGTTTATTGGTGGAAATACCATAATGATGACGATATAAATAGGATCGCCGATTAGTCCACAATAACTAAAAATAGGATTTTCTCCACAAGTACGTTTCATGATTATGTCCAATGAAAACAACATCGTTTGGTAATGAAAGTCAACCAAACGTTGTGACGTAGTACCGTAGTGTCGTTATCTCTGTCCAATCACAGAATTTTTATCCACATTTTTACTATATATACGAAAATTTCAGGCGGAATTCTGCATCAGTCTCATTCAGTATCGAATTTGAACCGTACCAAACACTATTACAATCATGAGCGGACGCGGCAAGGCAGGAAAATCGAAGGGAGGCAAATCCAAGACCAGGTCGTCCCGGGCCGGACTCCAGTTCCCGGTCGGACGTATCCATCGTCTGTTGAGGAAAGGAAACTACGCCGAACGTGTCGGAGCTGGAGCCCCGGTATACCTGGCCGCCGTCATGGAGTACTTGGCAGCTGAAGTTTTGGAGTTGGCCGGTAACGCCGCCCGTGACAACAAGAAGTCTCGTATCATCCCCAGACATTTACAATTGGCCATCAGGAATGACGAGGAGTTGAACAAATTGTTGTCCGGAGTAACCATCGCCCAAGGTGGTGTGTTGCCCAACATCCAAGCCGTGCTCTTGCCCAAGAAGACCGAGAAGAAGGCTTAACTCTGCTACCTTACCCACCAAAACCACAGTTTAAAACGGCCCTTTTCAGGGCCACCAAAATTTAAAAGTAAACGTCTGTTCGAATATTTTTTCAGTGGACACACTAGATAGTAAAATTGAATGGAATGGTGTTTGGATTATAAAATGTAAAACGTCCACGACCAGTGATAGTGTAGTACCCTAGAGTACATAACATTAAACACATATACGAATACAACTTAAGTATATCTGAGACGATAAATTATTATCACAATTAATATCAAATTGATTTTATCACAGATATAGATAATAAACCACGTTTGAAATATTGGTTATGTTAAGCTCCTCAAGGTTTTGGGGCACCGGTTAAACTTATGTGATTATTTTGAAATGTTCTGTACATTAATTTTAACTCATATATTAGAACCAGAACCCCAGTCACTAAATCTAACATCCTACTATCCAGTAAATAAAAACAATTATAAGTTCATGGAAATGCGACAAACGCGGCAGAGAGGAGTTTCTGGGAGTCTTTTTATGGTAACATACCGAAATGATCAAAATTTACCACATTTACGTACACTTTTCTCGGTAAATTACCAAAAAAAAAAATTTACGCAAATTTTACATCTCTAAATCCAAATATACCACGATAGCGATTCTGAATTAAAGTGACTTAATTCCATTTCCTTCATATTTCGAGGAAACCGTCACTTCTGGCGTTGAACCTAAAATCTTATTGAAAAAAATTATCACATCGAAATTAATAGGTACACTGTCGAAATGAGGTGGCTCATCGCCAAACATTCTAAACGCTAATTTCACTCAAATATGGCTACGCTGAGTCCACTGGCAGCTGTCCTTTACCAATTTATAGCTTGTGCACGTAGTGATAATGATAACGAATTGATAACCTGCGAGTGAGTCATAACGGTACTTAAGCATAAATGAGTAGCAAACCTGAAGTATCAAGCGTCTTAATACTTTCAACAAAAATCGAAAAATGTTTTTCCACATAAGTTAGACCAGTGATGAGTTTTTTTTTATTCAAAATATTTTTTTAGCAATTGATTAACCCGTGTATTTTATAGTTACACCTATACGTGTTTTCATTGAATTTATATCATATTGTTGTAGGCATTAAGTTATATTAACTGTAAATAGACCAAAATATTTTAAATCCTCACAATGGCGATTGTTCAATTTTGGTTTGACTGTGACATCAAAAATAAGGCAGGAATTATCTAGGTAATCAGATGATTAGCAATTATACAATGAAATACAAAATATATTCTTAAGTACCTACATTATTCTAATGTCTATTTTCGGTTATTTGACAAAATTAACGCGATTAGGATTAGTGCCTAAGTGTATTGTAAATACCGTGGATGCGGGTATTACCGCCGATAACAAGAAATTTGGTAAAATCATTCTAAAAATAACCCATCGCAATTTAATTTTTATGTGTTGTTGTCTGTCGATCCGTGGTAATGAAAATATTAATATTAACACATGAGCGACTGAGTAAGCTATACCCAACCATATCATACCCGTCTACAATGTCAACATGGGTCTTTCGGAATTTATAATTAGACACTATCGGTATATTTTACTTAATTGAAGCCATGTAAACACCGATAATTCTTGATAATTACTGTCTGTTGATCGATTATCGGTAATAAAAATGTATTTATAACAATGTCATTGTTTACATGGTAAATGGCGTACCTATTTATCAAACTTTCCCAGAAAGCGTGACAAAAGGATCTATAAGTAAACAGACGATAGTCAGCTGGCTGTACTATAATGTATGTTTTATACTTCGCGGTCTCGTGGATGTTGTTCCACTGTTGAATTATTCGATTCCCGCCGTCTTTTAATTTTGGCCCCGCGTTGTAATATTTGTTCTCCTATTCTATAAAATATAATTATCAACTGAATTGTGTATTCGTACAAATATTGGTATTGGTATTAATAGCACACGCTGGCTGATAGTGTGTAATATCAACAATTATCATTCTCCCTCCCGTCGCCAGAATACAAGTACATTTTGGTGGCCCTGAAAAGGGCCTTTTTAAGGTATGACAACTTATGACGACTATCAATTTAAGCACGTTCACCGCGGATACGACGGGCCAACTGGATGTCCTTTGGCATGATCGTGACACGCTTGGCGTGGATTGCACAGAGATTGGTGTCTTCGAACAGACCCACCAAGTATGCCTCGCTGGCTTCTTGCAACGCCATGACGGCGGAACTCTGGAAACGCAGGTCGGTCTTGAAGTCCTGGGCGATCTCGCGCACTAGACGTTGGAACGGCAATTTGCGGATCAAAAGTTCTGTGCTCTTCTGATAACGACGGATTTCACGGAGGGCAACGGTTCCCGGGCGGTAACGATGTGGCTTTTTCACTCCTCCGGTGGCGGGTGCGCTCTTACGTGCGGCTTTGGTGGCCAACTGCTTCCTGGGTGCCTTTCCGCCGGTAGACTTACGGGCTGTCTGCTTGGTACGTGCCATTGCGCTGCTGGATTGGATTGTTCTGAGTTGGACTGCAAAACGTGACTGTTGAACGAATGATGCGGTTCGACACGCAGTCGACCGGTATATATACGTAAATCGGAACCGTGTGGGTCGTCCTCATTGGTCGATGTTTAACGGTTAGAATTTTAGTGGTGGAGGGCCGGGGGGATAACCGGTCATGGTTCCGATTGGTGGTTCGGCTTCGAGAGAAACGGTTAAAATGGACTGCGACCTGAAGAAAAGTATCAGTCAACGTTCAGTTCACATCCGAACAAGTCCAACACCACTCAAACATTCAAAATGACAGGACGAGGCAAAGGAGGAAAAGGTCTGGGAAAAGGAGGCGCGAAACGTCATCGTAAAGTGCTCCGTGATAACATCCAGGGAATCACCAAGCCCGCCATCCGTCGGTTGGCCCGCCGAGGCGGTGTCAAACGTATTTCCGGTTTGATCTACGAAGAGACCCGTGGAGTCCTGAAGGTATTCCTGGAAAACGTGATCCGTGACGCAGTCACGTACACCGAGCACGCCAAGAGGAAGACCGTCACCGCCATGGACGTCGTGTACGCTCTCAAACGACAAGGCCGTACTCTGTATGGTTTCGGAGGTTAAATGCCGACAGTACTTACTTTTGAAGTTTAAAAACATCCTAAAAAGGCCCTTTTCAGGGCCACCATATGATGACATATATCGCGTATAATAACATTAAAGCAAAGAAACCAACTATTGTCTGTTCCGGAGTTGTTCGGTGGCGTCATTAATGAATCCCAATTTGTTTAAGAAAACACGGGGAATAACGTTCCGATTATAATATTGAAGTAGATTATCTATGCATTGTTTCTTTGACCGTTTTTCCATGATTTAATTGAAATACTGCAAGTCAAAACATAGAAACAACACTATATTCCGTTGATAACGTAATCCTGTTTGAATATTATTGCGGCACTTTGAATCAATATTACAAAAAAAAGCTTCAAGTACTATCATTACTTTTTTTAGCCTCCTTGGATGATGTTCTAATAACGTTCATATTATTGTAATATTAATTGTTTAATCGATTTCTAAAGCTATCATTCTAATGATATTATCGAGTAAATCGCTGCCTGGTTTGGTGATGAGTTTATTATTTTTGTGATTTACTATATCACTACGTCATTCGTTTCGTGAACCTACCATTAATAGGCTTTTGTTTAATGATTTATTTTTTTCGATTTTCATAACTATGTACTTTATAATTATATTACAAGAAATATCGGTTCCAATATGATAGAGTATGCATGATAACATGTATAATAGTGTAGAAACTGTAAATACGATAGATATCCGTGTTATTAATAGCCGTTGTGAGGGTATTACCGTCGATAACAAACAATTTGGTAAAAACATTCTAAAAATAACTCACCAATGAAAAACCTCAAAGAATGATATTGAGAATACTGGGAAAAGGGGTGTCCATAAACGTAGAAAATGTAAATTAAAATTCAGAAAATTTGTTTCTATAGAAATACCGAAACGGGGAATAATAATAATATCTCGACGTGATTATTAAATGTCATTATAAGTTAAAATCATGCGGTTATAAAAAATATTTCATTTGGGAATTTCTTAATTATAATCCAAGGGTTTTATTTCAACTAATTACAATTAAACTTCGAATAAAATATTAATTGAGGGCATTGCGGTAGTGTTGCGGAATAGCGTGAATTTTTTTTATGTACTTTATCACTTGTAAGACGGAGACAACGAATGCGTGTACGTGCAGGCCACGACGTTGCGCAGGTGAACTGTAAACAATTTATGTTCATTTTTTTTTTATTTTACTTTTCGTCAATCCAGATAACGCGATGAAACTACTGGACACTTATTTGCAGTAGTCGTTAATATGACTACTTGTCTTGAGTTCGATCATCACACATTTTAAGATTATTCGTTTATTTTATTTAAATTTAAAATTTAGGAAAATATGAGACATTTGATCAAAATTGGTATTAGTTTAGGAACGAGAAAATGTGACGTGATCGATTTCACATAGATATATTAATGTATTCAAATCAGTTTTCAAAAAGTCTTATCCCGTCATCCGGTCCATCGGTATGGTTGACAAAAAGTGCATACAAATGAACATAAATTGTTGTTTCGACCGAAGTCCTTTAACAATGTGTTGTTATAATCATTTATTCGGTAAAGTACGATTAAGACGAGATTTATTGACAAAGTCTGTCTCGTTAAAACTTCAGGTAGAAACACGCCGGTGACACCGTGCCGTGGCAGAGTCCTAAAACCGTCATATTCGAACAGCCACTGTTCATCGGAAAATCGGTCGATTGGAAATCTGCAAACGCCATGGTCTCGGGAAACTCGTGGAGAATTCATCCAAAATATTTTCGTCAATTTTCTACTGGTTTCAGTCATACGACAGACCTTCAAATACGGTTTACGAAAACCCGGTCGGAAGTGTGGAAATAACGACTCGTGGTGGTTTCGTGGTACTGGTTGCCGATGCAATAGTCATTGGCGATCGTTTAGAATTTAGTTAGCTCGCCAAAAAGTTCAAAGCCAGATTTTTACCACCATTTCCCGTTGAGATATTGTGAAAAACGATTGTACAACCGTAGCCCGGAGGACGACGCGAATCACACTGGTTTACTAGTTGGTACGGTGCACTGTATAAACGTACACATTTTTCGACCCAATTGGTATCACCGCAGTATCCAGTGGAATTATCCATCGTTTTAAATTTTTACTTGAACAATATCATCATCAACAACATGACAGACACCGTTGCTACAACTCCGGCTCCAGTCGCCGCATCGCCGGCCGCGAAGAAGTCCCCTGCCAAGAAGAAGTTGTCGGCTTCTAAAGTCAAGAAGACCGTTGCGTTGCACCCGACCACCGCCGTGATGGTCACCTCGGCTATCAAAGAGCTCAAGGAGAAGAAAGGTTCGTCGTTACCAGCCATCAAGAAATACTTGGCCGCCAACTACAAAGTCGATCCCGCCAAGTTGGCGCCTTTCATCAGGAAGTTTTTGAAAGCCGCCGTCGCCAACGGTACCGTCGTCCAGACCAAGGGAACCGGCGCATCGGGACACTTCAAGTTGCCCGTCGTCGAGGTCAAGCCGAAAAAAGCCGTTGTGGCCAAAAAGAAGAAATCCATCGTCAAAAAAGTCAAAGCCGCCGGAAACAACGAAAAAGAAGAAGCTCGTAGCCGCCAAGAAACCCGCGGCGGGGCGGAACCAGCAGCCAAAAAAAAGCGAAAAAGGCCGCTGCAACCAAAACCAAGGCGACTACACACGAAGAAGGCCCCAGCCAAGGCGAAGAAGCCGGCCGCTGTCAAGCCCAAATCGAAGAAAACTCCGATCAAGAAAACCGCAGCTCCCAAAAGAAAAGTAGGCTGGTAGTAGTAAAATACTTCCTCTTCATACCTTAAAAACGGTCCTTTCAGACACTAATTTTTATATAACATATGTCTTGCGCCGACATTTTTCATACATTTTTGTAAGCCGTATGACGTGTGATGATTTACTGCTTTAACTGATCGTTTCAGACTATGGACGGGTGAAACTACGCAATTGCAGTTTGATTATTGGAATCGAATTAAATAAAAACATCGGTCCAATTATTAAGGAATTTCCAAATTCAATGTTATTTATAATCATAAGCGATGCAATAAAATAACATTTAATTACGTCGAAGATACTATTGCCCGTATTTCTATGGGTTTTTCATTCATGAGTTATTTTTAGAATGTTTTTACCGAATTCCTTGTGATCGACTATTAATAATATGAATAGTATTAATTATCAAATTATTATAATATTACCTATATATTATATTTCACCTGTGCCAACCGCCAGTTGTGTCGACGATTAACGACACTTGTTCTAATAATTCCACTGAACAAAATAATAACTGACACGCGAATAGACAGACAAGTCGTTAAGCAGTAAATAATATACCTAACTTAAACTCGCACATTTCGTTACGTTCAGATTATTTTCATAAAATATTTATTTATGACACAGCTCTAGGTTTCATCGGAAGAGTCGGTGTTTACGCGTAAGTTTGTTTTAATTTTATTTTGGGGCTTAAATTTACTTTTTAGACTTAAATTAAATATTTATCGACACGGACGATATGCTAACTCGGTGACGTATAAACGATTTAATTAATAATAACATTTAATTACGTCCAGACATTATTGCTTGTATCGGCACTTCCATAGGTTATTCATTGATGAGTTATTTTTAGAATGTTTTTACCAAATGTCTTGTTATCGACGTCAATAGCTGCACAACGGCTATTAATGATATACTAAGTATATTTGATGATATCATTGTGAACAAAGTAATTTATATATTTCCCTTATTACGTGGACACTTGTATTTTCAGTCATTAGCTATAAAAGTTGAACATTTTATAAGTTTTTTAACATGGAGGAAAATAGAAGCAGTACAGACAATAGGTATCAGAGTAATACTAGGTCAACCGTCCATAGTAAAAAACAACCGGCTTCATCCCTATCAAGCACTTAATCAAAAAGAATGCCTTAGCAACCTTCCACCGTATATCAACTTCACAGTACAACAGTATAAAGAATATTGGTCACATTTCCCACCCATCACATGCCTCTAGACATAAACAACGACCTAGAGTAAAATTATGGGAAACAAGTTAAATATATATAAACATTTTCGTCAAAATTCGAACTTAAAATGCTTATAAAAAAAAATTGTGCCTATATATTTTTAATATTTTTTCAACTTTTATTGTAACAATATAGTAGGAGGCTTGTATTAAATTTTCAAGCTTTTTTACCCAACAAATAAAGTTTTATTGACATTCATAGAAAAAAAAAAAACTAATACAATTGGAAACTGGAAATGTTCCTGAACGGGTAAAAACAAATCAAAATATTTTGAAAATTTGGTCGTGTGTAGAAAATGCAAATATAAGCTACCAGTGATAATTTAATGTTTATACGTTCATTTGTTTTAGAGTTAAACCAAAAACCAAAATCGATGTTGTGGAAAACCGATTTTGAGTAAAAATTACCGTTTTTCCTTAATTTTTATGTAGTTTTTCTCGTCGCTTGGGAAAACTATTGGCAATTCTAAAATTTGACTCCCCGAATGCAACAAGTAGATTCAATTTTCCATTGAACAAGATACTGTTGAAGAAAATCGAAGCAGTTTTACTGCCCTAAATTGTGATGACAGACACAAAATAAAAA